GTCCTTGATGGCGACGGATCGGTAGTGGCGGAGGGGCTAGCAGAGACAACAGCCGTCGCGCCAAGGATTCCGAAGATTACACGTGTAAACATAGTGAAGTCGATTTGTAGCAAGAAGCGGATGAATGTATACGGTATCATTGAAGATAGTGAGAAATGAATAAGGTGTTTTTGTGCCTGGTAATTGTGACAATGCTGCGAGAAAGTTGCTCTGCTTTATAGTCCCTGATTGACACCAGTGCCATATGACGTGTGGCTGCGCTTTGAGGATGACGGACTATAAGCAGTTTCGCAGCCAAAATTGGAGAATTTCGTATGCTTGCATCTATCTAAGCCTCACGAATGTCCCAGTTCTGTCCTGGATGTCTGTATCTGGCTTCTTGGACCGAGTTCTGGGCATGGACATGGCGGTCAGAATCTTGTCTCACTGCCTCAATTGATTAGATTGTCCTGAGTAGACTATACACAGTACCAAGGAGATTATACTATTAAAAGATCTGGATGGGCGTAATCAACTAGCTGGATACGCCGATGAGGCTGGCTTGAGGTCTCAGCTAAAAACAAATCACATTGCAAGACGACTGAAAGCTCCTGAGATACGATGCAGTCTCAAAATTAGATCGATGACAAAGCTCCGATAAGCTGAGATGATTCATTAGGCGAGGAATGACTGCTCTAGGGACTGATTCGGACTTTGGCCTGTGTTTTAAATAAGCGCATCCCCAGAAGCCTGCCAGTCGATCTCACGCGGACGCGCTCATCATGTTGAGCCGGGAGACCGAATTGCCTGGTAGCAGCCAATGGGCTGTTGTCAAAGGCTTAGATTCCGCTTCCGAGGGTGACTAGCCGGTGTTTGATGTAAGCATCCAACTAAAGGCGTGTGCCACGCGGGTTGCTCCCTCAACCTTCACCTCCTCTCTTTCCATTAACATCTATCAACGTTCAGCATCGCCAACGCCTCACACTCTGTAAACCAAGCCTTCTTCGCAAAAAGCATCAGTTCCAAGGTATCAGATTCTGGCAGATGCCATGTATCACCTGCTCACGGTCCATGATGACCTGCGACCATGCCACTGCGACAAAGAGCCTGGGCATGGTTCGGTGGATACTGGAAATCGTACTGGGCGAAGGTTTTCGGGCTACAAATTGTTCTACTTAATACAATTCGGGCTGGTCTACATCCTCCATCTCTAAAGATACCTTACTAATGACGGCTTAAAAGGCTTTGTCCTTTGTTTCTCCGTGCGCAGGCTGCTTCAATGCAGACAGCCTGGGCGGGATCTTTAGTTCAGTAACCTATGAGGTTATTGCCATTAATTGGTATCTAGTAGCTCTCCCACCTTGTCAGACTCGGGCTCCGTAGCCGCCTCGCAGTTAACATCTCCCCCACGACGACATATCCAAACACACCCCGCTTAGAGGCCGACGCCCTCGAGCCGCGATGACGACAACAATAATAAGGATAGAATCGCTCCGGGGTACAAGCCATCGTCTAACAGAAGTACAGCCTCCAGTGACTAGGCGCATGACTTGCCACCCTGCCTGGGATGCCTGCCTGACGATGCTCGAAGGCCATAGCAACTAGGTCACTGTCAGATTTTCTGATCTGCACTGTCAGCGCTTTTTGATTCCGACAGTCACCCACGTGGCCTTCCCACCTCTAAAAAAGTCTTTCCCCTCCGGCGATTGCACAAGTTCTTATCGATCTGGATTCTTGGTTGCCTCTTTCGTGGGTCCCTCTCGTGAATGCTAGCATTTCTGTGGAGAAGCGTACTGTAGATCAGTGGGTCCCTGGCCCTGAGTTCTGTTGACGAAGGTTCAACCCATTACAAAAAAGGTCGAACCTTGACAGTCCAAAGGGTGCGATTCAGAGTACAATGGAGAGTACTAAGTCGGTGAGAGACACTCTGCGAGTATAGAAGTCACCAGGGTATTCACAATGGAAGGTCGTTTATATGGAGGAATCCGAGTATCGTGGGTGGATGTAAAGTTGACGCTTTTCTCGGTGGCCGGCTCCCATCCTCTCCTTATCGCAGTGAGGGAAGGTCAGGGTTGGGTGACATCCGTAAGTGCCGCCGATCCGGGACCCGGTGAAGTGAGGGGTTGGTTGGGGCGGCGAGTCATGTGAATTCTCGCCTTGGAACACATCAGGAGTACCCCGCATCGAATCTCAAGCTGTCCACTGATTCAAGCAAGGTCGTGATCGGCTGACTCAACTTGGACCGAATTCCGAACATCACCGCTCTCGCCGCAGAGTTTCAATCCAAGGCCCACAGACGACAGACCTGATTATCTTACTGCTTTCAGCCTGCACGCTTGGGCTCTTTGTGACATCCATCGCATCCACCCAGCACAGCACAGCATGGCGACATCGATGATACGGTACAAGCTCATCTTTCACGCGCCGCTTACTGCCGTGGCGGCGTGCAAAGAAGCCATCTTCGCGGCGGGCGCTGGGGAATACCCGGCTTATAGCGAGTGCGCCTTTACGGTGGTGGGCACTGGTCAGTTCCGGCCGCGCGACGCCGCGAGCCCGCATATCGGCAAGGTTGGCGCCCTCGAGGAAGTGCAGGAGGCCTCGGTGGAGACGCTTTGCGTTGGGGAGGAGACGACGAAGAATGTCGTCCAGGCTTTGAAGAAGTGAGTCTCTATCAAAGGTGTGGGTGGCACTGGCTTCGGGAGTGGGCATTGTAACTGATATCTTGCGGTTGGCAGAGCGCATCCCTACGAGGAGCCGTCCTACCATGTCTACAAGCTGGAGGACTTTTGATGAGACAGCAGGAACCAGCGACATAATTATGAATGCGAGTCGAAGCACGGACAGGAAGTCGGCAAGCATTAGTGTGAAATAATGGAACATCAACTTTCAACCAAAGAGTTGTCCGGTATCTGTCGTGGGGAGTATCAAGCCTATCGAGATTCTTTATAACAACATGTCTAGTTCGTGCAAGGCCGATGCTAATGCCGCCGCCAAAAGATCAGAACAAGGACCCAAACGGTTTTCTCCTGCCATCTTGTCCATTCCATGGCCCCCTGATAAAGGGTCCACAATAGCTGTCACCCGCTGCGTCCGCCAACATGTGGACGAGCCCACCAGTGTAATCCGTGAACAACTAGAGCTAGACTCGGAATATGATACGGTTTTATGCCATGCATCTCCTTCGTTGTTTCACCTTCTAGACCTCTGCAACCGCACTGGAATCTCGAAGATTACCCAAAATGGTGACCATCTCAATGTCGCGCCCCGAGCAGCGAGTTTCTTCGGCGGCCCCCCCCCATGTCCCGACTCGCCGTCAAACCGACCTCTGCCGGCTTTATCTAAGCTGGAGGGACAGGTAGTACGCAAGTGACCAGAGAGATAATTAATGACAAGGAGAAGGGGAAGCGGCCAGCTGGTGAAATAAGTGGTGGTGCTGAGGAGCCGGTCCGCAGCGGACCGGCTGTGCGGCGCTGTGGCGTGTGTGGAAACCCCCGGCATAATGCGCGAACTTATGACAAAGAGGTAATATCGTCTGCAAATTCAGACTACGATTGAAGTCAATTGACTTTATTTGTTGCGGTGTTGCAATTCAAGTTGTTGTGCTGTTGGTGCTGAAAAGTGTCTCGCTCGCTGGGCTAGCTCGCTTGTTGGTGTTTGACGTTAATAGTAATAAAACCGCCTATACAATTCAAAATGCCAGGGCTAAACATAGAATTAAATCAATACTTGATAATCCTCAGAATTTGATTTAATTTGCCATAATAAATGAGTGAGAAGTCATATATAGTTAGATTTGAGTTTACATCACAGCATGGACAGCTCGGCAATGCCCGCAGCGTAACACGCCCCTTTGACTTCGAACCTGACGAAGCTAAGGACTCTGCGACCCCTCCAGGCCGCTTAGATCTGCTTTTTCAGGAGCATGAGCGCCTGATCCGCTGATCGTTGTTTTCGGGTCCCGAAGTGGTTGGTCGGACGAAGTCCAAAGGTTTCGACTAGGTACGAGAGCCTCCCTGTGATCAGTGATTCCATAACCTTGCCAAGCCTCGCCAGCGGGGACATCGGCGTCCAGGCTTTTGCCACGGTCTAGTCGTTCTTGGCCGGCTTCTTCAGCGGAACAATCTTCCCGTGCCTCCATTGGTCGGGCAGTCTTCCTTCCTCTAACGACGTGGGAAACAGAGCCAAGACCCGGTGGTTGACCACGGGCCAGGTCTCTTTCCAGACGGCTGCTGGTAGGCCGTCTTCGCCGGGTCCTTTCCATGAAATGGCTGCAAATAGCTGCCTCTCGATGTCCTCCATCGTGATCACGCGCATCGTGAGAAGGAGCCTCTGCGGTCTGTCCCATTCATCGGCGATCACATGTGCGTGGGAGCTTCGACTGTTGATGTCAGAACTTGTGGATTTAAGAAGTAATCATTGAAAAACAAAAATCATTTTTGACATACACGATCGCGATCTCAGGGCTTGTATTGTCCTGTTGCGAACGGGTCTGCGCGGAGATCTGTTCCTCTGAGGGCTGATCAGTGAGGAACGAAAAAATATTATGTAGGGAACTTTGGTTGGGCATACACTTCCGCAAACCCTGTTTCTTTAGAAGTACGAAATCCGGTGTTGCAAGGTGGGAATCAAGCACCTCATCGTCTCCTCGTTTAAATACTTGGAGTTTATATCAGCTCGAAATACTCAATAACGTTTGGCTGCACCTTGTCCAAGAAAGTCTGAGCCACGAATACCATACACTGCAGGTGCATTCGCGCATTGATGTTTCTCAATCCATCATTCTATTGTCTGGTATTCCTCTTCTGATCCTTAGCCATTGTGAATCCAAAATACCTCTTAGATCCTCTGAGGTGCGGCATCGCTGTGAGCTTGGTCTCGAGCCACTTGAAAACCCGAATCAGCGTGGGCCTTGAATCAGCGCGGCACCAGAAATGGTCTGAAGCTTATTGTAGGCCTTAAAAGTGACTATTTCGACAAGTTCTTTTAGGTATAATCCTTTTCAAGTCCATTCGAAATAGGTATATAAGCTCGTCTGGGATAGACCTCGCAGGTCTAGGTTCACGTGGACTAAATCATGGAGATCCAAGTGCCCTCAACGGATCCTATTCGCGACGGCGAAGGCTTTCTTGTCAAATGGTGCTACGATGACCGTCGTGCCAGCGATCGACGCAAATTGTACAACATACTCTTCAGGGCCAAGTCCTTTAATGATTTGATCCCCACCCTGAACATGGTCTGGGACAGGGACTCGCTAGCCTTAGCTCTCAATGACACCCCTGAAACCTACAGGATACGAGCCTTCAACCAGCTTCGAGAACGCAACCCCGATGCATATAAAGAGCTTGTCGGGAAAGTTTCAAGCCTTCAACGGATTGTATACGAGAAGGAACTGGATCCGACTTTTCTTTATCCACGCGTGGCTACGAACTCTTTCATGGCTACCCTGCCGCCCGAGGCACGTCAATGCTTCGACTGCGGCAAGGAATTCGACGAGTTTTCAGATATGATATGGCGGCCATGTCGGAAACATGTCGGATGTACAAAGTGTTGGCGTAGAGTTGTTGAACTAGCACCAGCTAGTCCTTACACTCCTTGGGGTTGTGAGTGCGGTCCGAAGTTGCTATACAATTAGGATTTAGAAATTGTCGTCTCAGATTAAGAATGAAGTGAATTTTGCGACGATTATTGCAAGATTCAACCTTGTGTTTGTCCCTGATTCATTCGAGCTGAGCCTGGGTTATTAGGACGTATTAGGGTCATACTGCCCCAGAAAATATACCTATTAGCCCACCATTGACAACACGCTCTAATTCAGGCCAGAATCACGATCAATTTTGTATCTCTGACTTGACCTAGCACTCTCAAGCCGGCAACTCCATCGGTGCGTCCAAATGAATGCCGGCTTTGCCACAAACCCAAAAGAACACAACCTCCCTCGCGCGGTTCTTATCTTCCGCGGTGTCATCTTCCCATCTGACTCCAAATTTGTGACGTCGGAAATCGATCCTGAATTTTACCCATTCCCTGGCAAATGACTCTTCAGGGCGAGCCTTCGCATTCCGGCTGCTCTTTGGGAACAATGAGTCCCGTCCAGTTGTGACGAAGATGACGCGGGTTATCATCGTTGCTGTCAGCTTTTTGAGGAACTTAAAGCTGTCTCTCATTTCGGGAGTCATGCGGTCGAGGCGGATGTCGTGAAGGTATAAGAACAGCAGACTGTCGACAACCCTCGAGCAAGTCATCCTTCCTCTGGAAACGCAGCTGGTGGCAACAACACTAGTCACCGTCTCCAGCCTACAACAGTCGGACGAAGCCTCGCACCAATCGCTCCTCATTATCCCCTGTCGGCCCATCTCCCTTCGTCCACGATTCCCCCCGTGGGCTTTCGATGACCAACTGGCGTTCTTCGACTGCAAGCTTAGACAGCCTCACCACATCATCGACAACGACCTCGTCTGGGTGTACCTCGTCAGCTTCTGGCACCAATACCAAGAATCTCGCGATTGTGGGCCGCCCCAATCTTCTAGGCTTGCCCGTCTCGTCCGTTCGAAACAGAGGTGCCAGAACCAACGAAAATATGCATCCGCAGACTGGCAAACTCCTCGCTGACTCCGACATGGACAAGGCTATGTCTTACTGCTACGACCGTGGTGGCGGTCAGTACACTCGTCTTGTCCCCGTCGATATGCTTCCCATTAAACTCAAAGATATCCCCCGTCGTGTCAACACCGACGAGGGCATGATTGTCCTGCCTGTTCCCCACCGGCCAGGTCCCGATGGCCAGTTGACCAAATTGCAGCTGGAGTCTGTTGTGATCGTAAGTTGTTCCGTTCCGAGCATTGATGTGTTGTATCTGGGCTGTAGGTGAGGACTGTATACATGTAGATGGCGAGTGGTGGCTTGCTTTCTTGCTTTTCTGTATCTGTGTGATGTTTCTGGAATCGAGTTCTAGAAACGCTTAACTGACCCAAGGATGCGCGTCACAGCCATCTACCAGCCCCAACGGCGTCTCGACTGATAACATACAGGTAAGCAAGCAGCAAGCAAGCCAATCTCGCCACTGCCAATACATGTGCCTGGGATGACCCAGCCCCAAACTATGATGCCAACCTTGCGAACATTGTGAGTGCTCTGAAGGCTGACACATGACGAACCCGTGAAACAGTCTCGCATCGATTCGATCATCAACTCATCCCCTGGCGCCAGCAGCAGCGCTCTCGCCCTGTCTACGCGCGGCTTTGATGGCGGCACGAACCGCTCCCTGACCACCCAGAACCACGGCGGAGCACCCGGCGGCGGCCCCCGGCACGAGAAGATCTACTGCGACAAGTGGATCCATGATGGCACTTGCGCCTTCACCCAGCGGGGTTGCAAGTACAAGCATGAGATGCCCCACGATCGTGAGACCCAGGAGACGCTGGGCCTCTTTCACGGATACCCTGCCTGGTGGAAGAAGCAGGCGGTTGAGCAGCAACGTCCTCTGGCTATCGACGACCGCCTTGTTAGCGTCGGTCCCGGTCGTGGCGGCTTCCCTACTTCCGTTTCGGCTGGTGTTCTCGGCAGCAGCCTTAGCAGTGCTGTAGTTTATTCCAACTGGCGTTTTGGTGCTGTTCACGCCGGCGACAGCGTTGTCCAAGGAATCAACTCTCACACTGCCCCCGCCACTGACACCAAGATCAGCGGCGGTCTTGTTCGCAGTGGCAGTATCGACTTCGGCGGCAGCAGTCGTGGCAATGCGCTCCAACCTCACACACCCGGTGAGTCATCGGAGTCACTCCCCAGTCCATAATCCTCAGACAATCCTCACGGCGGGCCTCCATCTCCCTGCAAAGTAAGACTTCCGCCGTTTGAACATATCGCTCACTGTGCCATACAGCCTCTTTCCACCCGGCTACTTACGGGCCCATCGCGCCCCCTTCTCGTGTTGGCATCAGTGGCAGCAGTGGACCTAGCTCCGGCGTTCCGACGACCCGCAACAGTCGCGCGCTAACCACCTCGTCCATGGCCAGCACCGATGATGGCCCACGCGGCTGCGGCGCCCCCTTCCACCGCTCTGTCCTCGACCCCAGCAATCCCTGTGCGGCGCTCGGTACCATCTCTTCGCAGGCTCGTGTCCAGCAGGAGGAGAGTGGCAGCGATGACGGTGACACCGCCACTAACTCGGGCGAGCAGGGAGAGCAGCGCGGCGCTCCGCTTTGAAGTGATCGCCTTGCGCCGGCTGGCGGACCAGGATATGCGGCAGTTGAGAGGGCCGCTGCTCGGGGCACGACATGGTGGTTCTAACCGTTGCGAAAATTCGAAGAGTTCAGTGCGGTTGCAGAAATCTTTAAGAGAGTGTGAAGCAACGAAGGAGACGCGTGGCATAAAAGCGAATCACATTCCGAGTCTAGCTCTCATTGGACATGAATTACATTGAGTAGATTCCCAGGTCCACATAAAATGTCAAAATATCAACAGTTGAAAGATTCAGCATCTGTAGATTAACTTTGATGACTGCAATTCAAAATGACTGAACGTTGAATCGGGATTGAGATTGGAACATGTTAGGCTGTAAGATTCAAGATTACAGTAGCGCTTGTAAATTCGTGTTCCGTCATTGCTGGGTCCCATGGAGTATCCCAGACCCTGAGCTAAAGAAAATCGAGCTTCTGCGCTATTATGGCACTTTTGTCGGTCAATCTAGTTCCTTATCAGCTGCCACTGGAGGATCTCCTGGATCTTCTGACCTAACAGCCCCAGAGTCCATTATTGATTGGCCATCGGAGAAAGACAAGAAATGGGCGAACTCTTCCTTCCATGCTCCATACTCCCAAGATCCTTGGTGGCTTAGTCCTTTAATTCGTTATCAACCATCAAAGCGGACCCATCTCGGTGAGCTACAAATCATGTTCCCGGATTCTAATGCCTTCCTCACAGTTGCAGTACACATTTATCAACACATATTCGACAGGGCAAAGTCTGACGTGCTTGAAGATACAGTATTTTGCCTGGATAATCACTGCGAGGACGATACGGCAGTGGTTGATTGGCTGCGCAAAATGGCTTGCATGTCATCCTCGTGAACATCCAGTGGCTTTACCTTCTTACCCATAGTCTGCCCAATGGGCGGATCGGACTGGGTTGGACAAACTCTATCGCAAGGAGAGGAGTACTGCACGAGACGCTGGACTCTGAGAGCAAAAAGTCTTAATTTGTTGATGGGCAACGATAATGCATACAGCTGATTGGAAGGCAATGCACGCTAGCAGGCTGCACAATCCATCACCAACAGTCACTAGGCACCAAGAACGCAGCGTAGTATTAGGCGAACGCGCATGACTTCACACGATGGTCTTGTAATGTGTATACTGCAGGTTAGTGATCCACCGGCATATTTTGCAGATGATGTGACCAACGTCGGGGAACACATTCCTGATCCGGATGATCCAGTGAGACCACCAACGAGGACATGTAGGAATTGGAATACCATTGGCAAAAGAACGAGGCGACACTAAGAGACTAAAATTTAGATATTATCGTGAGGTTGAAACCAAGACCCGAAGAACCTCAACCACTAGCAGGATCTCTGTGTGGTACAGTATACTCCTCTATCCTGGCTTTCGATACTGTAGTACTTGCCCAATTAGTGACAGGTTTAGAACGAGACGGTGCCAGGGAATTCTCCGTCCAACCATCTACGTGAAAACGCGTGATTGGTTTATTGCAATTAAAACGAGTCTTCCTGTACGAACATGATGGTTTAGATGGTGAGCTCCGGATTATTCACTAAACCCCATCAGTCTCGACAGAATGCATGCGGGAAAGGCGGCACAGCTAGAACCAAGCGATTCAAGGAGCCTTGGTGACCCCACTACAACATGATTGGCTGTGCAATGCGAAAGTCAATGCACAACGGAGCGATTATCCTGGCAACCGAGATCTCTGCAACGCCGGCGAAATCTGGCCAATTGTGAATCTTCATTATGTGTCAAGTCTCAGACTCCCGCATCATGGATGCGGCGTGAGCAGCCGGAAATATTTCGAGAGACCGATGTTGCGAGCTATTGGTCAGTCAAGGCCGAGCTCGCCACTCCCCTAGCGACCGCCACAAGGCACGCATGTAGTTACACATCCAATTGCCTGGAGCTCTGGGCAATTTCATTACAACACTATTGGATAACACTTGAACATCACTTACCAACCATGGCCTGTTTCTATTCTAGAATACTCGATTCATGGTTTATACGACTAGAACCTTGCTTTCCCCACCATATTTCATGACTCAAAATGGAATGGTCCAATGAAAGAAATTCGGTCAATTTTTTCTCTTTCTGGAGTAGACTCCCGGCTCAGACTGCTGCCTGCTTTTCTTGTCCGCGACGCCAGAAGCGTTTGAGCAGAAGTTGAAGCGAAGTATAAGACCTGTGGCGCCCGTCTGTGACCCAGTCTGTTAATTACAAGACTGACATTCCGATTTCAACAAAACGAAATGAGCAATCGCATTCGTCAGAATCACCCGAAGCAGTGTCCCTGCGCACAATGTGTGTGTACACATCCAGGGCGTTATGGAAGAGACAGACAGCGAGTACAAGAGGCTGTGACATCTATCCCTTCAACGAGCCATGATCATCATCAGAACCATCACCATGGCAATGGACAGTCTTCATTCTATAAAACCCTTGCCCAGAAGCCCACACCAAGTCCCTTGACACCGCCATGGCAGACGCCAAGCACACTCAAGCCACTTTCTACGCCTCTTCGTCAGCAGACAGTCCTGTCCGCACCAGCCTCACAAAATTCGCCGCCTACAACCGTTAAGGAAGACGAAACGCGCCTTCGCAGATCTAACACAGCGCCAGGAACCGGTATCTCCTCCTTACTTTTACCGCCCATCGTTGAGCCAACTCCAATCTTGAGCGCCCCCAGATCCATGCCACACTGGACCCACTGTCCGCCACACGAAGACAGCGTG